CCCACCCAACCCTGCCTTCCCTTTGAGATTTGTCAGTCTGTTTCAGGCTTTTATGTCTATGGATCTATTTTGTTCATCAGTTTATTTTGTTTATTAGATTCCACATATGAGTGAGATCATGTGATACTTGTCTTTCTCTGATGGGCTTATTTCACTTAGCATAATACACTCCAGGTCCCTCTATGCTGTATCAACAGGTAAAAGATCATTCTTTTTCTAGCAACATAGTTTCTTCTCTCTCCTCCTCCTCTCCTTTCCTCTCTAAAATGTATCACAACTTTTTTATCCACTCATCCACTGATGGGCACTTGGGCTGTTTCCAGATCTTAGCTATTGTAAATTGTATATAAGGAACTCATACAACTTAACAAAAGGAAGACAAGCAATCCAATTTAAAAATGGGCAAAAGACCTGTATAGACACTTCTCTAAAGTGGGCATACAAATGTCCAAGAGACTTATGAAAAGATGTTCAACATCACTAATCACCAGAGAAAAGCAAATTAAAACCACAATGAGATATACCTTACACCTGTCAGAATAGCTACCATCAACACACCAACAAATGACAAGTGCTGGCAAGGATTTAGAGAAAAGGGAACCCTAGTACACTGCTGATGGGAATGCAGACTGTGCAGCTAGTATGGAAAACACTATGGAGTTTCCTTAAAAAATTAAAAATTAAACTGCCATTTGAGCCAGTGATCCCACTTCTAGGAATATATCTTAAGAAAACTGAAAACATGAATTGGAAAGAATATATGCACCCCTGGGTTCATAGATATCTTGGGTTTTATCCTCATAGATATCTTGGGATATAATACTACTACTATACATGTAGACATGATCCTTCCATATTTTTCCTTTACATTTCTATACTTCTTTATGTTTCCACACACAAAACCTAAAGAAACAATACAAGAAAGAAAACCAGAAACTGCTGCAGCACCTTCGAGTTATCTAAGAAGCCCCACAATTTTTTACTATTTTTTAATTTTTCAATTACAGTTGACATACAATATTGTATTAGTTTCAGGTGGACAACCCAGTAATTAGACAACTATATAAGTTACTAAGTAATAACCCTGATAAATCTAGTTAACTCATTTGACATCATACATAGATAATACAACATTTTTGACTATATTCCCTATGCTGTACTTTACATCCCCATGACTATTCTGTAACTACCAATTTGTATTTCTTAATCCCTTCAACTTTTTCACCTGTCCCCCAAACCTCCTCCCATCCAGCAACCATCAACATATTCTCTGTATCTATGAGTTTGTTTCTGTTTTGCTTGTTCATTTATTTTGTTTTTTAGATTCCACATATAAGTAAAATGATTTGGCATTTGTCTTTTTCTGTCTGAATTATTTCACTCAGCACAATAACCTCTAGGTCTACCCATGTTGTTGGAGATGGTGAGATATTTTTATGGCTGAGTCATATTTCATTGTATGTATGCACCACATTTTTATCTATTCATCTATTCATGGACAATTAGGTTTCTTCCATATCTTGGCTATTGTAAACATAGCCGCAATGAACAAATATATGTATTTAGTCTTTCAAATTAGTATTTGGGGTTTCTTCAGATAAATACCCAGAAGTGGAAGTGATGGGTATTTGAGTCTCTTGTTATAGCCTTTGTTTTAAAGTTTGTCTGGTATAAGTATTGCTACCCCAGCTTTCTGGGTTTTTGTTGTTGTTGTTTGTTTCCATTTTCATGAAATATTTTCCCATCCCTTTACTTTTCATCTGTATATGTCTTTCAATCTGAAGTCTCTCATAGACAACATACGTAAGGGTCTTGTTTTGTTATCCATTCAGTCCTATATGTTTTTTTTTTTTTGATTGGAGCATTTAACCCATTTTCATTTAAAGTGATTATTGATAGGTATATATTTATTACCATTTTATTCTTTCTAACTACGTTCCTCCTTTTTTCCTTTTTTTTTCTAAAAGAAAACCATTTAACTCTTTTTATCATACTGGTTTGGTGGTAATAAACTCGTTTAGCTTTTATCTTGTCTCGGAAGCTCTCTACTTCACCTTCAATTTTTAATGATTATGTGAAGTTATCCCAGAAGCTCCTTAAACTATCCTCATTTTTGAAATTCCTTTTCTTTCTTTCTTTTCTGTTCTTATGTGGTATTCTCTGCTTCATCTACTCTACTATTGATTCTCTGTAATGTACTCTTTATTTCAGTTATTGTATTCTTCATTTCTGACTGGTGCTTTTCTATGTATCTCCTTGGTATGTTTTCTATCTCTTTGTTGAAGTTCTTACTGAGATAACTGAGTATCCTTATAACCAGTGTTTTGAACTCTGCATCTGATAGATTGCTTGTCTCCATTTTGTTTTGTTCTTTTTCTGGAGTTTTGTTCTTTGTTTTTCCCCATTTGGGATATATTTCTTGATCAAGTCATTTGGCTTCCTCCTGTGTTTGTTTCTATGTATCAGGTAGAGCTGCTATATCTCCTGGTCTTGGTAAAGTGGCCTAATATAGTAGGTTTTCTGTAGGGCACAGTGGCACAGCCTCCCCATTCACCTTACCTGGGCACTCCAGGCGCACACACCCCCACCTTGTATGGTCTATGTGCACCTTTCTGTTGTGGTTAAGCCTTGATTGTTAATAGTACATCAATGGGAGGGATCTATCTCCAGTCCAATTGGCAGCAAGGACTGGCCACAACTACCATGGAGAATCTGTTGTTCAAGGGCTGACCCCACAGAGCAGAACTGGCTTCAGCAGGGCTATGGTGCTCATTTAGTCTGTCCCTTAACTGTGATCTTGTGGAAATGGTTTGGTGGTGCTTTGTTGAAGTCTGAAGCTCTCTACAAGGTGTGATGGCTCTGGGGCCTCCGGAGAAATACAGGCAAGGTCAGCTACCACCTGTGCCCTATTCAGGGCCACTAGGCATGAGCTACAAAGTGATCTCCAGATGGCTGCTAGTTTTGCTGGGTTCGTAGGTGCCCAAAAGAGGCCAAGCTGCAAACCAAGGCCAGTTGTAGCTAGTGCTGGGCCTAGGGTTGCTTAGTAAGCAGTCCAAGGCAACCAAAGGCGAGATGTTACTTGAGAGATTTTAGGAAAGTCCACATCATGAGCCAATAAAGGCCATTTGAATGGAAAAGCAGCTTGTGTAGGCCTGCAAATTGAGTGAGGTAGAGTCTCAGGGAATCACCAGGCCAGGGCAGGTTGATAGAGATTCAAATATGGCATCTGCCTGCCAAGTCTGTGTGGGGAGGGCTTAGGAAAGGAATAATGGTTTCTGTCAGCACTTCTGTCTGAGAAAATGCTGTCCTTCCAGCCTTTGATAGACAATTCAGTTCCATCCCATATATTCCTGGTGCTTTTCAAGTTGCTATTGCAGTGCTAGAGTTCAGAGTGAGTGAATCCAAGTAAGTCCATGTGCAGGCCCTAACATTAAGAGGAACACCTGGAACTCAAGCAGCCTCCTGTCTTATTCAGCCACAGTCCCCACTAGTTATCACATCCAGAATTTATGGGGACTTCTCTTCCCAGCATTGGGACCCCTCCCTCATCAGGGAGGACCTCCACATCCGAGATATCCCTTCTGATTTGTAACCCACACATGTGAGTGTGGGACCAGCGCATTCCACATATTTACCCCTCCTACTAATAAATATGAGGCCTCTTCTGCATATCCTTAGTTATAAGGATTTCTGTTTAGCTAAACTTCAGGCAGTTCTGAATGATGGTTGTTTTGTACTTTTGATGAGGTGTGAGAGAAGGTGTGCACAGTATTTACCTACACAGCCATCTTGAACAGAAACCCACTCTAAAGGTGTTGTTGTTGTTTTTAAATGTGGATGTAATGGTGCATGATTAAGTGTTGCAAAATGCTTACATTTGGCCATACTACTCAATTATTTAATAATAGAGGCCCGGTGCATGAATTCGTGCACCCTCGGCCTGGCCAGCAATCGGAGCTGATCAGGGGGCCAGTGTGCTGGGGGAAGAGACCATGGGAGGTTGGCCCCCACAGCAAGCAAACCAACAGCCAATTCTGTGAGGAATCGGGCTCCCTCCCCTCTCTTGTCTGGGTCTGGGGTGCAGGTGAACCAGATTTGGGGCTATCAGGACACCAGCAGCAAGGTCTGGGTCAGTGTGTGTCATAGCTACCAGCTGATCATTCCAGTCGTTCGGTTGTAACGGTCACTTAAGCATATATGCATATATATATAAAATAATTTACTACTTTATTTTTATTTAATTAATTTATTTATTTTCTATTTCTAGTTGGAACTGTACCTAACTTGAACTATTCCTAATTGGATGTGTTTGACAGTCCTGACCTTATATTTGACACCTGTGTAGGATCACTACTTCTCTAACTGATTAAGTAGAAAATCTCCTGGTACTACTTCTGCTTCCTCATCTGGTAAGGAAAAATTATTTGGTAACCACCATTAATACAGTTAAGAAAGAGTATTTTCCTTCAATTTATGTTGATGTCATGTTAAAACATACATCCTGTGGTTTTAAGTAGTTAGTAAAAATTTGCTTCCTGTCCATTTGACTTTGTTGTCTACATTTTGAAATTTATAAGCTTTATAAAAATTGCAAAGTGGATAAAATTAGGAAACAAATTTTATGCTGGATACTTCTATTCTCTCTATTTGGTTCAATGAACTGGGACACACATTATATAATTGCAAAGAATACAATAAAATGCATTTAAGATGTATTTGAAAACCTTAATTGATTGGTATTTTAAATAAAGGTAAATATTTGGTCTAGAAATGTCTTTCAGAATGTTTAAAATTTAGTCTATTTTTTATAGCATTCTTTTGGTTTTCATAAATAATATAATTTAAATACAGCATTTTTTAAGTTTTAAAATACAGATGTTACCAATTATAAATATTGAAAATGTATAATAAAACATTTAAATATATATTTATTCCTTTTTTAATATAATAAGACTTTTCAGATACTGTATTCCATTTTCAGCCACTAAAATTTAACTAACCTCTGTAATCCTCAATTTTTCGAGTTCACTTTCCAGCATCAATTTCTTCTCTGATAACATTTGGAAATCATTTTGCATCTGTTTGTATTTCTAAAAACAAATATTATAATTTTAGTAACAATGAAAAGCAAAATATCAATATAGAGAATTTATTTGAGTACTTAATTATTAAAGTAAGAAAGTCTTCATTAGATCATGAAAAGAATGAACCATTGGTACTAATCTCTAATGGGAAGTTGTAATTGAGGCAGAAATAGTCAAAAGGAACTAGAAGTGACAATGAATTAAAGTTTAGAAAACTAAAGGGTATTACAGTTAAGTATTCATAAGTGAAGTATTTCTGAGAGATTATAAGGTCTAATAAAATAAAAAAAATAAAAAAAGCTTTCCAGCTTACATATGTATAGAAATCTTTTGAATAAACTAATTAATCATTGGATCTTTAAGATGACACATTCTGACAATTTCTAGAATCCATTAACAACAAGGACAAAGTACAATTTCAAATTGAGAGTGGCATACTTACAGTTTCTAACAAAATTTTATCATTCCTAGTTCTGAAAAAAATTAAAAATATATATAATTGTATGTTTTATTTATGTGACATACTTATACATATTCTTTGTAAAATAATTTAAGTATAACAGATAAGATTATACTATACTTTGACTACCATTCCAAAAATTCAATGCTCTCCCCAGAGGGGTGGGAAAACTTTTTTCTGCCAAGGACCATTTGGATATTTATAATATCATTCGTGGGCCATACAAAATTAGCCTGCTATATTTGGTCAAACATTTAATTAACTCACCCCTAATGTCTTGGCAAGGCCCAGGCCACATGATTTTGTGGGCCTTATACAGTTTGAGGGCCAGACATTACACCCTTGGCTCTGGAGATATTCGATTGCTGTATATCTTTCCAGAACTGTTGCATGAATTTGTAAATACTGCATGAACCTATTAGATTCTACAATTTTTATTATTGGTTTGGATGTCCCTTGTATTTTTTCACATAAATGACATCACTATATATTCTCAACTTATTTTTTTTTTCACTTAACACAATTTCTGGGATCTATTTATATTGCTAAACATATATCAACTCATTTATTTTAAATACCAGTTCTTTCTTTCCCTTTCTTTCTTTCTTCTTTCTTTCTTTCTTTCTTTCTTTCTTTCTTTCTTTCTTTCTTTCTTTCTTTTTTACTTAACAAGATACATTATATTTCATCCTCATCCAAAGATATGTTTATTGATTTGAGAAAGGGGGAGAGAGAGAGAGAGAGAGAGAGAGAGAGAGAGAGACCAGTTTGAGAGAGATACATCATCCATTGGTTGGTTCCCATCCAGGGATCAAACTTACAAACTAAGTATGGGCCCTGACCGAATATAGAACCTGCAACATTTTAGTGTACAGGATGACACCCAAACCAACTGAACCAACCACTTGGCCATGGCTCCAACAAGATACATTTCTTTAAATTTACCTTTATTGGTAAAAAAAAAAAAATATATATATATATATATATATATATATATATATATATGTACACCCTTTTTTTCCCCACTGACCCCCTACTAGCCTGCCCCCTGACATGCCCCCGGCCTTCACCATACTATTGTCTGTTTCCAAGGGTTATGCTTATTCTATATGATAAAAGCCTAATATGCAAATTGTCCCTTCAACCAGGAGTTTGATCAGGGGGCGGGGCCAGTCACCAATCAATTGTGGCCCCTCCCTTTGGCCAGCCCAGCCCCCAATCAGCCCCTTGCTAGCACTTGTGCATCTGATTTTTTTTTTGTTTATTAGACTCCACATATGGGTGAGATCATGTGATACTTGTCTTTCTCTGACTAGCTTATTTTGCTTAACATAATCCTCTCCAGATCCCTTCATGCTGTCTCAAAGTGTAAGAGATCCTTCTTTTTTACTGTTGCACAGTATTCCATGGTATAAATGTGCCACAGCTTTTTTATCCACTCATCTGCTGATGGGCACTTGGGCTGTTTCCAAATCTTAGCTATTGTAAATTGCACTGCTATGAATATAGGGGTGCATACTAGTACATTCTTTCTGATTGATGTTTCAGGTTTCTAGGATATATTCCTAGAAGTAGGATCACTGGGTCAAGTAGAAGTTCCATACTGTTTTCCATAGTGGCTGCACCAGTCTACATTCCCACTAGCAGTGTACTAGGGTTCCCTTTTCTCTACATCCTTGCCAGCACTTGTCATTTGTTGATTTGTTGATGACAGCTATTCTGACAGATGTGAGTTGATACCTCATTGCCATTTTAATTTGCATCTCTGATAATTAGTGATTTTGAGCATTTTTCATATGTCTTTGGCCTTCTCTATGTATACTTTAGAGAAGTGTCTATTTGGGTCCTTTGCCTATTTTTTAATTGAATTGTTTGTCTTCCTTTTGTTAAGTTGTATGAGTTCCCTATATATTTTGGAAATTAACCCCTTATCAAATGTATCATTGGCAAATATGTTCTCCCACATAGTGGGCTCCCTTTGCATTTTGTTGAGGGTTTCCTTTACTATGCAGAATCTTTTTATTTTGATGTAGTCTCATTTGTTTATTTTCTCCCTTTGTTTCCCTTTCCTGAAGAGATATATTAGCAAACACATTAATACAAGAGATGAAATTGAAACAGTAATTTAAAAAAAAACTCCCAGCAAAAACAAGTGCTGGTTCAGATGGCTTCACAGGGGATTTTTATCAAATATTCAAAGAAGAACTAACACTTATCATGCTCAAACTATTTCAAAAAATCCCAAGGAAGGAACACACTTTCAAGCTCTTTTTATGAGGCCAGCATTACCCTAATTCCAAAACCAAATAAAGATGCTACCAAAAAAGAGAATTACAGGCCAATATCCCCGATAAACATAGACACTAAAATCCTCAACAAAATGTAGCAAATTGGATCCAGCAATATATTAAAAAGATGATACACCATGATTAAGTGAGATTTATTTCAAGGCTGCAAGGCTGGTACAATGTCCACAAGTCAATAGATGACATAAACAAATTGAAAGACAAAAATCACATGATCATATCAACAGACACAGAAAAAGTATTAAACAAAATCTAACACCCATTTTTGATAAAAAAAAAAAAACTTTCAGCAAAGGGGATTAGAGGGATCATTCCTAAACATAATAAAGGCCAAATATGACAACTCTACAATCAAATCATACGCAATGGGCAAAAACTAAAACCATTTCCCCTAAGAACAGGAACAAGACAGGGATGTCTGCTTTCACCACTCTTATTCAAAATAGTACTGGAAGGCTTAGCCACAGGGATCAAATAAGAAGAAGAAATAAAAGTCATCCAAATTGGCCGAAACCGGTTTGGCTCAGTGGATAGAGCGTCGGCCTGCGGACTGAAAGGTCCCAGGTTCGATTCCGGTCAAGGGCATGTACCTGGGTTGCGGGCACATCCCCAGTAGGGGGTGTGCAGGAGGCGGCTGATCGATGTTTCTCTCTCATCGATGTTTCTAACTCTCTATCTCTCTCCCTTCCTCTCTGTAAAAAATCAATAAAATATATTTTAAAAAAAAAAAGTCATCCAAATTGAAAAGAAGAAGTAAAAGTGTTATTATTTGGAGATGACATGATATTGTACATAGAAAACCCTAAAAACTCCACCAAACAACTACTAGATTGAATAATGATTTCTGCAATGTAGAAGGATACAAAATTAATACCCAGAAATCTGTGGCATTTTCTTATTATTTTTAAAAATATATTTTATTAATTTTTTACAGAGAGGAAGGGAGAGGGATAGAGAGTTAGAAACATCAATGAGAGAGAAACATCGATCAGCTGCCTCCTACACACCTCCTACTGGGGATTTGCCTCTAACCAAGGTACATGCCCTTGACTGGAATCAAACCTTGGACCCTTGAGTCCGCAGGCCGACGCTCTATCCACTAAGCCAAACCGGTTAGGGCCTGTGGCATTTTTATACTCCAATAATATATTCTCAGATAGAGAAATGAATAAAACAATCCTACTTACCATTACAATAAAAAATATAAAGATACTTATGAATAAACTTAACCCAGGTAATAGAGATAAAAGACCTGTACTTGGAAAACTACAGGACACTGAAAAAAGAAATAGAGGAAGATATAAACAACTGGAAGAATATACTGTGTTCATGGATTGGTAGAATTAACATAATTAAAGTGTCCATACAACCCAAAGCAATCTACATATTCAATGCAATCCCTCTTAAAATACCAACGGCATATTTCACAGATTTGGAACAAATATTCTAAAGAGTTGTATAAGACCAAAAAATAACCCAAATAGCCACAGCAATCTTGAGAAACAAGAACAAACTTGAAGGGATCACAATACCAGATATAAAACTACTAGAGGCCCAGTGCACAAAAATTTGTGCACTCGGGGCGGGGGGGGGAGAGGGGGTCCCTCAGCCTGGCCTGTGCCCTCTCGCAGTCTGGGACCCCACAGGAGATAACGACCTGCTGGCTTAGGCCTGCTCCCAGGTGGCAGAGGGCAGGCCCAATCCCTAGGTGCAGCCCCTGGTCGGGCTCAGAGCAGGGCTGATTGGGGAGTTGGGGCACCACCCCCTGTCATGCACAGAGCAGGGCGGATCTGGAGGTTGTGATGCCACCCCTAGTCACACTCAGGTTACGGCCAATTGGGGGGTTGGGGCACCGCCCCCTGTCACACTCAAGGCAGGGTCAATAGGGAAGTTGCGGCACCACCCCCTGTCATGCACAGAGCAGGGAGGATCAGAGGGTTGGGGCACTGCCCCCTGTCATGCACAGAGCAGGGCCCATCAGGGGGGTTGGGGCTCCGTACCCTGTCACACACAGAGCAGGGCCGATCAGGGGGTTGAGGAGCTCCCCCCTGTCACGCACAGAGTAGGGCCAATAGGGGAGTTGGGGCACCGCCCCCTGTCACACACAGAGCAGGGCCCATCAGGGGGGTTGGGGCACCGCCCCCCGTCACACACAGAGCAGGGCGGATCAGGGGGTTGGGGCGCCGCCACTGTCACACTCAGGGCAGGGCCAATGGGGAGGTTATGGCTCTACCCTGTCACACACAGAGCAGGGCCCGTGGGGTGGGGGGGGGGGGCACCGCCCTCTATCACCCACAGAGCAGGGCCGATCAGGGGGTTAGGGCGCTGCACCCTGTCACACACAGAGCTGCAGGGCGATCAGGGCGTTTGGGCGCTGCCCCCTGTCACGCTGATCCTGGTGCCAGGAGGCCTTGTGGCTCTGCTGATCCCGGTGCCAGTAGGCATAGTACCCTTTTACTATATAGAATAGAGGCCTGGTGCATGGGTGGGGCTGGCTGGTTTGCCCTGAAGGGTGTCCTGGATCAGGGTGGGAGTCCCCACTGGGGTGCCTGGCCAGTCTGGCTGAGGGGCTGAGGGCCATTTTCAGGCTGACGGGTGACTGAAGCTCCCAACCACTCCTTTTTTTCTTTTTTTTATTCTGGGGGCCAGCTTTAGCTCTGAGGCCTCGGCTGCTGAAAACAGGTTTCTGGCCTTTGTTTACCGTCTG